ACATCACAGGCCCGCTTGGGTTCGCAGAACTGCTCCATCTGCCTTCTATTTCGGGGGGTGAGAAGCCCACCCCCAGGCAGGAGGGACGCCTGGATGCTGCTTAAAAGCATGATGGCTGCGGGTGATGAAGTGTAATGGAAAGAGGCCCTGAACAGTGATGGACAATTAGGATTATTAGAAGTACTACCAGCCCACAGAGTGAGCCCAGAGTGGGAAGGGGTTCAAATGTCAGAGGCAAAAAATAGCCGAGCGACCCTAGATGATAACTAAGTATTTGCCCTGAAAGTAAGCTGATGGGAAGGACATTTTCCAAGGGGAGAGTGGGTACCACAGTACGATGACCCTGGAAGTCCCATCCTGTCCATCAAACCGAGACAGGCTGACTTCCAGGCCCTGGGCCAGGGGCTGCAAATTCACACATGCTGAGAAGGCAAAGCCCCACGCAGGAGGAATTCAGTCCAGTAAAAATCATGTTAGGTAACGAGGAAACCGGTGCCTGTGACGATGGGAATCTAGTCAGTTTGGGTGAGGCATTCCACCCAACGACCAAGGGCAGGCTTTCTCCTTATATTCATTCTATCTATAATGATGAATCTCAAGTAGGAAAGTATTGGACCACTCACCCAATAAAGAATTCCTATTTTTAACAAGTTTACAATTATGCGCATGTGACAATAGCTAACATTCACTGAGTGCCCATTCTGTGCCAGGCACAGTGCCAGATGCTTCATGTGCGCTGCCTGTTGACACTCTCAGCATACCTGAGGTAGGTGCCACCAGGACCATCAGCCCCATTTTTCAAGTAATACACGGAGGCACAGTGAGGTTAAGGAATGTGCCCTAAGTTACATAACCAGCAAGTGGTGGAGCCAGGGTTGAAATCCAGGCTGTCTGGTTCCAGGGGCCTTTTGCTTAATAACCTCTTTGCTAAAACTGCTACAGGCACCCACATGCCCCCCCACCTACCCCCACACACACAGAGATATGCACAGGCACATAAGACACACACACACACACACACACACACACACACACTCAGAGTCACACAGAGTCACTCAGATAACAAGCACAGGGAGGCAGGTTGGCCCTAATGAAACTCAAAGGTCAAGGCTGTTTCTGCTGCCCTTTTCACCTAAACTCCTATTAGGAGATAAGGTATTATTATGTTTTCAGGAATTTCAGGATTGCTCTTGATGCCACCATTTATGTGTCTAATAAGCATCTCAGACCCAACAGGTCCTGATCAGAGCATCTGAGTCCAAGCCACCTTCCACCCCTTAATCGGCACCTAACTAGAAGCTCAAAACACCATTGACCACCACACTGGACTCATCTTGGTACTTCCCTTCCCCCCACGACCCAATCCATCAGTCGTTCCTGTTGGCTCTGCTCCCATTCTGATTTGGTGTACCCCAAATCTACTCATCTCTCTGGTCACTGCTTCCTGTCCAAGGCAAGGCCATCTCCTTCCTGAAAGCCAGCCACAGCGCGAGCCGACCCATCGGCTTCTACTTTTGTTCCAATCTCCTCCAAAGCCATCTCGTCCAGATACTTGTCAGATTCCATCAGATCCCTTTCTAGAACCCTTCCCACTGTGGCCAGAATAAAGCCCACCACGTACTATGGCCTGCAGCAATCTGCGGAGACTCCCACCCAGCGCCTCCCTAAGGTCCCTCGTCAGGCTCCTGGTGCTTTCTGTTTGCCTTGTTGAGAACTCTCCCGAGACCAGGAGCACGTGGCTGCTTTGAGGACACGTAGGAAAAGGTCAAGAGCTGGGGCTCCAGAGAGGCCTGCCTGGGCGGAAATCCACCATTTCACCTGTGTGATCTTGGGCAAGTTTTTCAACCTCTCTGTGTCTGTTTCTTCTTCTAGAAAATGGTGAAAATAGTCACCGCATCTCTGCAGGGTTCTTGTAAACCAGTGATTCCCAAAGTGGGCGCTACCGCCCCCTGGTGGGCGCTGCAGCGATCCAGGGGGGCGGTGATGGCCACAGGTGCATTTGTTTTAACTTTTTTTGTATTACCTTTCTATTCTGAGTTCAATAAATAGTTTCATAATTTCAAACTTCAATGTTTCTAATTTACACCTTTCTTTACTATATTTTACGAAAAAGGTAGAAACATTAATACATATATCTTTCTGTTTAATTGCTATTAAAATTTAAAAAAAATTAATTTCCAGGGGGCGCTGAGTAATATTTTTTCTGGAAAGGGGGCGGTAGGCCAAATAAGTTTGGGAACCAATGTTGTAAACACTAAATGAGTAACCCGTGTAAAGCTCCTAGAGTAGTGCCTTCACATGCAGTGCTCACTGTTGTTACTATTATTATCACTATTACTATTAACAGCAAATCAACTGTGAGGTTGGACTCTAGAGTCAGACTAACACTCACTCCTGGCTGTGTGACCCTGGACACATTATTGACCTCTCTGTGCCCAGTTTTCCCATTTGTAAAATGAAGATAATAATTACACCATCCTCACAGAGATTTTGTGAGGGTTGAATTAATTAATCAATACACATAAAGCACTCAAAATAGTACTTAGCACACAATAAGCATTCAGAAATGTTTATCATCATCATTATTATATTCTCAATATCATTCTCGTCTTCTGGGTCTCTGTTACACGGTCTCCTCCTTAGTGAAGCCCGACCCCCAACCCTGATCACTCTGTCACACATCCTGTCTTGTTTTCATCATTGCATTGATCACTACTTGATGGGAGCTTCTTCTTCATGGTATCACGTGGTTTTGATCCCCTCTATCCCCTGCCAGCCTGGAATCTTCACCAGTGCTTCCCCAGGGCCTGGAGCAGAACCTGGCACTTGGTAGGACTCAATAAAAGCCCAATGAACAAATGTCGAAGAAGTCCCTTTTTCACGTGTGGAATGCTCCGTTTGCATGAGGTCTCTCTCTGTTCCCTGCGGTCGTTATTCTGCTACCCAAGTTCATGGCCAGCCATCCCTGCACATCAAACCTAATAGGAGGTCTTCCTACTGTATTCTGTTCTCCAATGGCTGCCATCGGAGCAGCTCCCTCTGCAGAGGATAAGCCATTCGATGGCAATCCTTTCCTGACACGTGAGCTCAGACACAGCCTCTCATATTTACATTCTCACTTTACCCATTGATTTATTCCTTTATTCATCACTTGATTCATTCATCAGCCTAACACTGACTCGGTGCCAACCACATCCTGGCCTAATGCTGGACATTGAAGTCACCAAGGCAACAAGACCAAGTAGCACTGCAATAGCCTGGGGGAGAGAGAAAAAACTGCCCTCCCACCGTGTTCCTAGGAAGCAAAACCCAGATGCAAGTGAGCAAACAGCTCAGTGCAGCTGGGGTCTGCAGTAAAGGTGGGGGAGGGGAGATTGAGCACCTGGGCGGGGAATTTCCGGAGCCTGGCAGAGAAGTGGCATTTATCTTACAAAAATGTGGGCATTGAAGGGCTTTATCTCTGAGTTATTGCCAGATTTGTCTCTTAGGAAGGTTATCCTTGAGTTTCCCCAGTGGTCAGGTTATAAATGGGGGAAAGGGAACCATTTAATCCCAACAAGAGATGGCAGAGGCGGGGAGGGATGTTATAATCTCAGGAAGCCTGGCTGACAGGGTCAGAGAAATAAGAGGAATCGACCAAGCAGTCAGTTACTTCTGAAGAGTGAGGTCCCGTTACCTCTACTTCACCATCATGTGCAGCAGAAACCCTCTCGCCAACACCATCAGAACCGGCGGGATGTTAGTGTCTTTGAAGAGCAGCAAAAGTGTAGACTCTTGAGAAGCATCCCATTTAGATTGCTATGGTAAACAAAACATGGCCCCGACAAAGACGCCCATGTCCTAATGCCCAGCACCTGTGAACACGTCAGGTTACATGGCAAAGAGGAGTTAAGGTTGCTAAACAGCTGGACTTAAGATAGGGAGATTTTCCTGGATTACCCAAGGGGTCAATGTAATCACAAGGGTCCCCTTAAGGGGAAGAGGCAGGAAGGAAAGACAGTGCCAGAGATGTGACAATGAGTGCAATCAGAGAGATGCTACAAGAGGTCAGGAGCCAAGGAATGTGTGTGGCCTCTGGAAGCTGAAAAAAAAATAAAGAAATGGATTCCGCCGAAACTGGTTTGGCTCAGTGGATAGAGCGTCGGCCTGCGGACTGAAAGGTCCCAGGTTCGATTCCAGTCAAGGGCATGTACCTGGGTTGCGGGCACATCCCCAGTAGGAGATGTGCAGGAGGCAGCTGATCGGTGTTTCTCTCTCTCCCTTACGGCTGCCAGAGGGGAACACAGCCCTGCCAACACCTTGATTTTTGTCCCATGAGACCTGTGCTGGCCTCGAATGTTCTTTTTTTTTTTTTTTTTTTTGGCCTTGAATGTTCTTAATTGCAGACTTCGGGTTAAGGATCAGCTCCAATTTATACATCATTAGCCTTTACACAAAAATGTTATAATCAACAACCAAGACTGAATGTGCATCATTGCGGAGTCCTGGTAACTGCAGGTACAGTGGTGTATGCTTTTACTGTTTGGGCCCCTGACTAGCTTTTTCTAGTCCTGGAATGGGGTAAATCATCCAGACTCAACTATGTTCAATGCCTCTTGCTCATTTTCCCGCAGACCAGAAACAAGTGCAAAACTAAATTAAAAGTCCCTATGTGATGTGATTTCTCGGTGTAGACACCTTTACCTTAGAGAAGGTGGTGACTAGCACAGCACCTGTGCCTCCCCTGGATCCTGGCACCGATGATAAATATTGGCTGACTGATCATCTGTGTACCATGAGGCCGACATCAATGGCCATGCTGCGCGCCATGACGTGGAACTAAGATCAAACACAGGCTCTCTGCCTGAGCTTCCAATTCCCTGGAACTTGAGCTCCTTCCTTACCTTGGAGAGAAGAAGTCTCCTTTATCAGGAGACTCTTGTCTGTAAGCAATTCTATTTCTAGGGTCAAGGAACAGAAAGTCATTCACCATGGACTAATAACAGGCCCATCCTACTCACCCTGCAGGGAGGAACGAAAAGGCATATGAGACTTTCCTTCACAACTCTCCTTCTATTTGCAGGGAATGGAATGGAGCCACCAGTTGGCTGAGCTGAAAACTTCCTCTCATGCCAACCCTGGACCCGGCTTCCAAAGCAGGGCGGTTCCCCGAGGCATGGTGGGACAGGCAGTCCTGCTCATCGAAGTCTCCTGTGGTGTCACCAGTTGGGGTCAGAGTCCAATGGAGTCAGAAGATGAGAAGGGAGCACCCACATCATAGGCTTCTCTGATGCCCATATTGACAGAGACTCTCCCGCCACTGAAAGCAATTGAAAGCCATTATTGAAAGCAATTTCAATTCCAAATACACTGAATTTTAGAGAAAAAAACTGCCATGAAATGACACTTTTATGAAAAATATATGAGGATGCTTCCAGTAATTATAGATCAGTGAGGGTATGTTTCTTTCATTGGCCATTAATTTATATCAATTATTTATCAAGTCCTGTGATGCTGTGTGCTTAAAACCACTTAGGACTGGGTGCTTAATGTGTCCTTTAAAGGGACAGGTTACAGAATCCACTTTGAGAATTTCTTTCTCTCCTACGACCGACGTGGGAAGAAAGAATAAACTGTTTAGGATCAAAATTAACCTGATCCTTACAATGAAGTTCCCTCCCCACCCTCTATTCCCTAAACTTAGGGTGAGAATTTTTACGACTTTTTTTTTCTTTTTTGCCATTAGCTTCCCTGATTCCAAAGATTATGCCAATCTTAAGAACACCCTTGGTGCTTCGACACAATGGGCATTTTAGTAATTGTCCTAGCTCAGATGACTCCTTGGTGTCCTGGCCACACCCATAATTACAAGATCACACCTTTTCCTGGTTTATTCATGATGTCTGGTCAACACCAACTCAAAATTCAGGTCCAGCTGATGACATTTCACAAACAGCTACTTTATTATTGTCTCTTTTTACTTTTGTGATGTTTTCTGTTCTTGGATCTCTAATGCCTGCTCTAGGCAGAATGGGAACTTCCTGAGCATGAGGGAAGAGAATGAAGAAAAAGTGGTGAAGATGGCCCAAGGCAGAAGTAGTGTCACAGGCAACATTAGGGAAGATGCTTTACATCAAGATGAGCTCAAATGCATGGCCCCACTAGCTGGGAAAGCTATTTGCCAGACTGGCTCAACCTACTGGATGCCTACCTACCTTACAACCTTCCTTCCTTCCTGCTGTACCTGAACACCAGTGAGCTGGCTGACCAACACATGTCCTCTCTTCGTCACAGCCTTGGACCTGGATTCCTGTCCACCCCCCAGTGCCTGATGCTCCTTCTCTCCTCCAGGCTTTGCATGTTGACTTGCCCTCCCACCTGCTCACTTTCTCTCCCATCTCCCTGCCTGGCTAATGCCTGCACTCAGTCTTGAAGGTGCGACTCTGGCACTCATGGTTCAAGAACCTTTCTCAGCAGGCACCAGCCACTTCTACCCTTTGCTTCTCTGTGTCACATGCCCCGTGACCACAACTGCCACTTCATTTGTGTTGTGACTTCTAGGGAAACAGAAACGATGTCTTCTGCATCCCGGAATTCTCAGGGCATTCTCGTGTTCCCAGAGCTGCAGATAGAGAGTGCTTGGTCCTTGCTGTGTAAGTAATGATCCTCACCAAAAACGAGCAAACCAACCAACCCTGGTAAGCCTAGGGGGACACTGTGCCTTGCTGACAAACTCAGAAATGCCTCATTAGTTCCAAATCTCAGATTGGAATTCTTTTCTCCCAAATATTCAGACACTAGATTCCTTCCCTAAACATTCCAACAACTGCAGTTTCATTTCAAATTCAGGTGGTTGGTAAAAAATAGCCTAATAAAAGAAGAGTAGATTTGAAGACCTCATTCATAAAAAAGGATGAAGAACCTGGTGTTGGTCAATGTGGGCATTAAAAGGCCTGGCCATCTTGGTCCAATGTGGGACAATCAGAAGAACCATCTAGCACAGAGCCCTGTGTGGTGGGCAGAAGCTGCCCTGGGGTCGGCATCACCACTGACTTCTTCCTCTGTCCACTCCCTTTCCATACCCTCCCTTCCACAGGGGTCAATCCCAAGTGCACCCCCAAATAGACATCCTGCTTTAAACTCTGTCTCAGAGTCCTCTTCCTGGGAAACTAACCCAGATAGCAACACAGTACAAAAGAACCTGCAGTGTGTATCCACATCTACGTAGCTCAGAATCAGGCCAAGTCACCTCATTGTTTAGGGGTGCAATCACACGTGCAAAACCAGAGCAGAATGAGGATGTATTAGCACAAAGTCAGGACAGGGACCACCTGAGTGGGCGGGGCACAAATTAATTTCTGGGGTGCAGTGTCCTATTCCTTGATCTTGGTGGGTTTCCGGGGGTGTTTGCTCATGAGTATTTTTCCACTGCCCATGGATGTTTTGTACAGTGCTCTGTGATGATAGATCTTACATTCAAAAGGGAAAAGATTTAACAAAACAGTATGCTTATTGTCACCACTATTGTCACTATTATTTCAGTGACAAGACAGCACTGTCCAGGGTCCTGTCCCTCTAACAAGCAGGGAGAAGGGAAGGTTCTCCTACAGTCATAAAGTACAGCCGTGGCTGGGTGACAACTATGTTCCCAACAGTTCTCGCCCACGTTTCTCAATAGAGTGGAATTGTAGGTAAGATCAAGGTGGGTGAGTAGCAATGGGGCTCTTTCAGGTGGTCTGACAGTCATGACTCCCCTCTTGACCTGCAACAGGTCTAACTGTTTCCATGAATAATGAAATCAGGTCCCTTGCTACCTGTGCTTCCCAGCAATGGGATATATGAGCCCAACTTCCACAATGTTAATGTCACATCCAGTGACCCTCTCTGTGACCTTAATGGACATTCCCCTTTTCCTGAAAGTTGTCTTCAAATAAGAGCATCAAAGTGGGTATATAGACGTCCTGCTTTAAACTCTGTCTCAGAGTCCTCTTCCTGGGAAACTAACCCAGATAGCAACACAGTACAAAAGAACCTGCAGTGTGTATCCACATCTACGTAGCTCAGAATCTGGCCAAGTCACCTCATTGTTTAGGGGTGCAGTCACACGTGCAAAACTAGAGCAGAATGAGGATGTATTAGCGCAAAGTCAGGACAGGGACCACCTGAGTGGGCAGGGCACAAATTAATTTCTGGGGTGCAGACAGTGTCCTATTCCTTGATCTTGGTGGGTTTCCAGGGGTGTTTGCTCATGAGTATTTTTCCACTACCCATGGATGTTTTGTACAGTGCTCTGTGATGATAGATCTTACATTCAAAAGGGAAAAGATTTAACAAAACAGTATGCTTATTGTCACCATTATTTCAGTGACAAGACAGCACTGTCCAGGGTCCTGTCCCTCTAACAAGCAGGGAGAAGGGAAGGTTCTCCTACAGTCATAAAGTACAGCCGTGGCTGGGTGACAACTATGTTCCCAACAGTTCTCGCCCACGTTTCTCAATAGAGTGGAATTGTAGGTAAGATCAAGGTGGGTGAGTAGCAACGGGGCTCTTTCAGGTGGTCTGACAGTCATGACTCCCCTCTTGACCTGCAACAGGTCTAACTGTTTCCATGAATAATGAAATCAGGTCCCTTGCTACCTGTGCTTCCCAGCAATGGGATATATGAGCCCAACTTCCACAATGTTAGTGTCACATCCAGTGACCCTCTCTGTGACCTTAATGGACATTCCCCTTTTCCTGAAAGTTGTCTTCAAATAAGAGCATCAAAGTGGGTATATAATCTCCACCATAAATGGGACGGGAGCTGAATCTCATCTCCCCACAGATGAGCTGCTTGAGGGAATGGAACTCATGGCACCACCATGGCTTAGAAAATTCCTTCCCATAATCCTCAGAGCCATTGGAAAGGTTAGCAAAAGTCTTACACATGGGTACGGAGGGAAGCCACAGGCTGAAAGGCAGCATTCTCTGCTCATAGCTATTCAAAGTTGTGGCAAAGAAGGGTGATATTGTCAGAACTCTTGGGGCAAAATAGTCCATTAGGCTCCATCCGCAGCAGGGTAGGTGTCCCGTAAAAGCCAAGAATGAAAGAGCAAAGCAGACACCTGGAAAATGCAAAAGCGTGTTGCCCTCCAAACAGAGAAGGAAAGTAATTTAACTGAAGTCCCTGTTCCAGAACCATTTAGAAATCTCTGCCCTCATACTTGTACTAATACTTGGATTCCATTTGGCTTTTTAAATAAAACTCTTAAAGCTAGATCCAAAAGTTATTCTCTGAAATAAGTTGGAAGTGTTTTCCAGGCCTCAGAAAAACCATGATTTGGGGAAGTTTAAATGGAAAAGGGCGTCTCCACCCACCTGTCTTTCCTGACCTCACACCTTGGATGGACATTCTCCTGTCATTGCCACTCATGGCATCACGATGTGACTTGGAAGTAACTCTCCTCTTCTGCCTGTTCTCTAGCCCCACATCTGCATTGTTAGCAAATTACTCTGCTTAGCACCATTACACTTTATGCAAGCACTGTGCCAGGTGCTCCTACCTAGCTTGTTTTATTTCATTTCTATCACTCTATGTACTAGATACTCCTCGTATTTTATAGATGACATGACTGAGGTTCATTTCAATTGCCCAAGGTGGCCTTGGTTAAAAATTGCAGAACTGAGACTTCAAAACAGGTCATCTCCCTCCTTTGTTGAGATCACAAACAGATACAATATATGTAAACTGTTTAGCACAGTTTCTCCTCAATGAATAGTGTTATTGTTTTTACTAGTTTTATTACCCACTTCGGGAAGTGGATTGCCCCAGGATCCATCTCCCAATTCCCTTACATTTTCTAACACAAAGTCATTCAATCAGGACCATGTATGAGCCCCATTGATACCCTGAGCAGAGCATATAATGTGCAAAGACAAAAAAAAAAACTTTACAGAAAAATGGAAAAGTGATGGCCATTACACTTATAAAATATACTCAACATAATAAGGAAAATTAAAATGAGATAAGAGTTTACCTATCAGATTAGCAAAGATGAAAGATTCTGATAACACATTGTATTGAGGAAGACACTGTAGGACTATGAATTGGTAGACCCTCCCCCAAGGTGGGCATTTTGTCAATGTCCATCAAATGTCATGTGGATATGCCTGTAGCCCTGCATTCTCTGTGGATCCGTTCTGCTCACTCCTCGCACTTCTCAATATGTGGCACGCCTGTGCAAGGAAATGCAGAGCTCTGTGTTTTCTTGGTAGTTGGAGATCAAAAATGCAAACCATCTACTCATCAGTAGGGAGTCATGGAATAAAAGATGATACATG